GAGAGAGAGAGAGAGAGAGAGAGAGAGAGAGAGAGAGAGAGAGAGAGAGAGAGAGAGAGAGAGAGAGAGAGAGGGCGGAATACTGCAGGGCACACACCTAGAAACGAGCACGACATTGCAGGCAGGCAAGCATGTGTTCTATTTGAATACAACACCCGTCTGTTCGAATAGAACAAACATGCGTACTATTGGAATACAGCATGCATGCGTACTATTTCAACGTGCGTGCTATTTGGATTTCAGAGGGCGACTTCGAGAAATCGACTTTCTCAGGGAAAGTTGAATAGTACATACGTGTGTTTTGTTCGGGGGAAGACTGTAGTACACGGCCCCAGCCTTGCAGTCCAAAACTTGTCGCCGCAAGAAAACGAGGCGGAAACGTCAAACGGTCGGCCTGCAGTTGATATATTGGATCGGCGGTCACTTTTCGTCTCGTGCCTCGGGGATTGAAGGTGTCAACCCCGCGCCTCTGGGATTGAAGGTGTCAGGCCCACGGTCCAGGTAGCCGCATACTGGTGCTTTAAACCATGGGTACGTTTCCAAGGCATAAACCACCGGTATGTTTCCCAGCCATTTTCTGCGACGCGGCCGTATGCTCCCCCCAAGTGTCAGGGGTCAAAATGGCTTGCGGTGGCAGCCAAAAGAAGGCCCGCGCCAGGTCGGCTTTTTATGGCGTGCAGTGTGTTTCGGTGCGAGGCAAGGGAAGGGTCAAAAGTACTGGTGGTTAAAGCCTCCAGTGCTGAAAGTACCGCATTGTTCTTTTCGCCAGCCCACGGCTGGGCCTTCGGATATACAAGGGATTCTGTACAACAAAAAAGTGAAAAAAAAACACTGTTGGATAAAAAATCCAATGGGTCCTTTTTTTCCTGACTGGTAATTTTCGGGTGCAACCTTGGTGAATCCTAACCTAGGCCACTGACAAGGGTACAGTGGTTCAAACCACCAATACTTTTCCCAGCCATTTTTCTCTGACGCGGCCGTGTATGCGCCGCAACTTTCGGGCCTTGGCCTGCCGAAGCAAAACGGCTCGTGGCGCCAGCCAAAAGCACTCCTGGCGGGTCGTTTTTTTTTGGGGGACACCGGGAAGAATCTGCTCTGGCAAAAGCAAGCCTCCAAGTACTGGGAGTTTAAGAAGGGAGCCAGAACCACCACCTTCCTCTCTTGCACCTCCTCCGCTAAGATGTCACCGCTTGGATGCATGTGTGCACACATGCATGGACCAGGTTCACCATATATTTGCAAATCCAAGTGATTATCAAAATTTGCAAACAAGATGACATGAGCGGTGACTGTATTGTAGTCGGGCCCTGTAGGAAGAAAGTTCAAACCTGTGGCAGAATCTTGCGGCAAATACAAATGTTGATGTCAACCAGAAGTGATCGTTGACCAGAAAAGGTTTCCTTGTGTGTTTTTGTTTGTGTTTGTGTCGCCACTAGGTTTTGAACCCAGTCAGTTTTTTTTTGTTTTTTTTTTTTGTTTTTGTTTTTTTAACACCCATGAAACATAGCTAGGAATAATGATAAGAGCATGTACCCCAAGCTATATTCGTAGGTGCCTCCGGTCTATTAGTGGGGAGCATCACGTGCTGGAAACCAGGTCCAGCGTCCCATGATAATATTCAAGGATGAGCATAGTTAACCAAGGAGTCACAGTTGCCTCTTCAGTCCCTTAGGGACCGCCAGAAATAACATTCAGCACTAGCTACCATTGCCCCTCATAAGATTATCCTGAATTTGTCAACTCCCCTCCAAGCCAAAACATTGTATTTCTATAAGGGCAAGCTCGGAAGGGGGAAATGGATCTGCAAAAAAGATTGAAGTTCTGAGAGTAGCTCGTGGATGAAGAGTAAACCAATCCTTGGAGATGAGTTGGAAGTCCCTTTTGAAGGATTCCTTCCTCTCCCTTTCTCCTGGCCATATTACCTCCCCCAGGCCCCTTTCCCCAGTACCCCCCAGCCAGTCCATAGTAAAGTTCTGGATTGCCTTTTGGATGTCTTTTTTTTTTGTTGACAATTACGTACTTTGGATGTGACCGCCGCCCATTGGGCTTTTATCTCTGTTTGTACAAATTGGACAATTTGTTCAATCATCTCTGGTCCTTCCAGATTTACTTCGTCACGTACAAAAACACACCTCTTATACCATAATGTCCATAAAACCGCTTTCCTACCGATTTAAAAAAAGTTGAGTTGGAAATTGGATAGCTCTAGGTCCTGTGGAACCCAGTATCCTAAGAGGATAGCCTATCAATCCCAAGGCCGGTCTACATCCGTTAGTTCTCGCCATGTGCAACCCACCTGTGCCATGTTAGTACTGAACCGGGGCATTGCATAAAAATGTGCTCAATGGTTTCTCTACATTTTCTCCCTTGGAAGGTGGACACACAAAAACTGCACCATGGGGAGGCTAAACCTCTCTGTTCCAAAGAAGAGTGGTCAATAATCCAATCATTTGTGGGGAGACAACGATGTGCAATTTGCCACTGCATTATGATAGGTTTAGTAGACAGTGGTAGTTGTAGGTAGGTAGCCGTATGTGCCACAATTTTCAGTTCTCTCAACCACCAGTACTTCCTAAAGTCGTGCCTGTTAACGCGCCACAATTTTAGGAAACGAATGGGCCACTACAGGAGCGCCCAAATTCATCCAACTAAAAACGTTTCTACTTTATTTTTTCCACGGCCGATAGCTGGGCTAAGTACTGGTGGTTTAACAGAAAAAAAAAAAGGTAGCTAGACTTGGAACTCGTTTCAGTAGATTTCAGTTGGTATGGAATAGCTCATACTTGGGAGGGGAAGCGTTCTTGCCGGCGCCCTTGATGAAGGAGAGGGGAAAGAAATGTTGCCATAGCCGCAAAAAACTTCAGAGATATATTGTACTACTTCGTTCGGTGTTTATTGCAGCTTGCTCTGGACTGCTCATTGCCTAAGTGGACATAACTTTCGTGCGGTTTGGCCACATTTTCAGGCATGTACGAACGAGAAACGATGTGTGTTGAAGGCCAGCTAAGCACATTTATGTGATTGATGATTGGTCTTCGCACAAGTCGCCGGAGAGTGTCGATGAAGAAGACCATTGTTCGTGCAGTTTCATCATGCCAGGCACTCAGGTGGACAAAGTGTTTGAGGAGTTTCATCACGATTTCAGCCGTGTATGAATTATAATTTGCGAAATCGAGAAACGATTTGGGTGAAGAGACATTAGTGTGCAAGTTGCCAAGTTATCACGCACGCTTTTTGTGCAGTTGCAAATGTGTTCCAATCATGTGTGGGTTTTTGACACAAACACCGAATGCTTCAAGCAATTTCTTGCACCACCAAGTAAACGCATTACCAATACAACAAACCCACGCCTTTTTCCAATATTGTTGGCACCTCCATATCCATCGTTCTTCTTATTCTTCCTTCTCCTCTCTTTCATTTCTCATACTTGTTTTCTTTCCTCTTCTGCTTTCTTCATCTTCACTCTTCTTCTTCTTCTTCTTCTTCTTCTTCTTCTTCTTCTTCTTCGAGGACAAAGCTATGACTTTGTTCATGGGATATCTACTCTTGTTTTTTTTTCCCCCTATCCTATTCTCGCATCAATTACTTTACGAAACCTAGTTATCAACATTTATCTTGAAATATTGCGACCTTATTGTTATATGCAAGAAGCCGAAGAAAGAAGAAGAAAGAAGAAGAAAGAAGAAGAAAGAAGAAAGAAGAAGGAAGAAGAAGACGAAGACAACGACGAAGAAGAAGATAAAGTGAAGAAAATGAAGAAGAAGAAGATAAAGAAAGAAGAAGAAGACGAAAGAAGAAAAGAAAGAATTAGTAGAAGAAGAAGAAGACGAAGAAAGAGAAGAAGAAAAAAATGGAACAGACCTTGCATGATGAAGCTGTGCATTTGATTCAAGAAGAAGTCTGAAAATTACATAACACATTGACTACCCTCATGGGCCATTATGCTTTTCCATGCAAGGAAGTTGAGGGAACACAAACCATATCAGCGGGATTTGCTATGCCTTTACACATGCTCAGCAGATTGGGTTGCTTGCCGTCTTGGACTCTTACAAAAAACCCCATGCATCACCTTCTTGCTTGATCTTACCCGCCTTTTACCTCGTCTTTTTCTGACTTGTCCACTCTCTCCCCATCCCTCCTCCACATTCCACACAAACCTCCCTGTCGGCTTCCAATTAGCCAGGTGCAGATCTGTTTCATAATATGTGTACATTATCCCCATCTCAGGTATGGAAGCTCGTATTAGAGACGATCGTCACCAAAAATAATGCTGGAGCCAAATTCCAGAAAGCTCGAGTTTGAGTCGCCCATTGCCAAAATGATATCGCAGTTACAACCTTGCCTTCTTTCGGTTTTCTTGCTAAATGCAAAAAAGCCTTGCAAAGGATGAAGAAGACAAGAAGCCTTAGCCAACTACACAGGCGCGGGTTCTGGCGTGGTGCTGACCACATTCGATGAATGTCAAGTCGTTAACGGTTGACTACGAGTGAGTAGCTGCTCCAGGTGCGGCCGCGACTCGCAGGGATTGGGATGCTCGACGTAAGCGAACAGTATATTTATATACAGTGGTTGGTTTGCCAGCCATCGCGAGGACATCAATTGTAGATAACCCATTGGGACCTGAGCTCCCTCCTGGAACAGCAAACATTGCAATGCGCTGAATTGCCTGCACATGTTCAACAGCAGCAACGGAACGGTCTGTCAGGGTCGTAATCATGCATTTACGTGAAAAAGGCCAATAGAGAGCTGCCACGACCAAGTCAGTCACTAATTAGCTGATTAGTAATCTACTAATTAGTAATTATTCTACAGTAACTATCAATGATGATTGATTCAATCAATAATTCCAAAGTAGAAGTGGGACTGAGGAGCGACATACATGAAATATTGATTATTAATGTAACTCTTCTCTCTCTCTCTCTCTCTCTCTCTCTCTCTCTCTCTCTCTCTCTCTCTCTCTCTCTCGCGCGCGCGCGCGCGCGCGCGCGCGCGCGCGCCTCTGTCTCGCCTCTCTCTTATCCATTCTCTCTTGCTCTTCTATGATGGTTCTCTGCTGCTGAAAATGTGCAATCAATCATGATGATGATATGGAGTTGTGATCGTCTTTGGAGACTTCAAAATTCAACGTTCAGATTTGTGTGACATTGCTCATCCGCTTCTCGACGATTTTATTATTATTAATATTAATATTATTATATATATTATTATTATTATTATTATTTTATTTTTTTATTATTATTATTTTTTAAAGAGGCATATGCAAGGAAGATGAGCAATAGCGAACTTCAGAAATCAAACAGCATCATACACATGAGACCAGGTAGTCGTGACCTCGAACCAATAGCAGAATTGCATCACGAGTTTCACCAAATAAGAGCACACCAAAAGCTCATAATTGACAATGCTGGAATAGTCTCATCATCATCAACGAAGAACCAATGTTGATATCCTATCTGGCGCTCGGCGCCCAGACTACGAATGGCAGATCCTATCTAGCCTATACTACAATGCCGCTGATGACGTCAACAGCTTCCCAAGTATGAGCAGATCTCGGCCAATGCCGCACGCGTCAAGCACCAGGTATGTCCCTCGTATCACTCACAACCTCGTTCCCCAACTCACAGATGCCTCTTGCACCCAAGGACCACCATGCGCCCCATCCAGCATACAGCAGCACAGCTCGGCTATGGCTGCCTGCTCCTTCCAGCTCGCCTGTGAGCGCGTGAGCCTGGCCAGCGATAGCGCAGCAGCGCTTGCGCACAAAGCAGCCAGTGCCCGAATGCTGAATGCGTAGGCTGGCCCTTTCCTAAATGGAAGTGGCCAGCCTGCTTGCGTGCAGCCCTGGCTGTGCTGGGTCCCTGCCCAGAAGCTTCCGGTGGGCCCAGGGAGGCTGAGCCTCAGACCAAAGGAATCAGGTCCAGGGCCACCGACAGTTACCCGTGCCCAACTGCCCGCTGTCTGAGTTGGGTCTATGCTGCGTATCTCGCCCAGGGCCTGACTTAGATATAGTCGATAAAGGAGGCCAGGGCCTGGGTGCCTTCAACCAACTGGCGCTGCACAACTGCCTGAATTTTCCGCAGTTGCGAAGTAGTCAAAAATAGGCCTCTTGTCGTCTGTCGGGCCTGCCTTCACTTAGGGCGGCCGACCTGTTGCAAATAGGGGCCCAGTAGGGCTTATCGAGGCCTATGCCTCGCACATAGGTAAGGACAAACCTATTTTTATATCTGTCTCAATACTAAGTAGTTCAAAAAAAAGAAAAAAAAAGAAAAAAAAAAGTAGTTCAAATGTCATTCCTATCAAAGCTTTGTTGTCTCTAAGGCTATCCTCTTGTAAGTTGGCTTTCTCTCTTTCAATCTGATTGTGAATGCAGCAGCTGTAGCTGCTGTGCACATTTCTTAACAGTGACGAGTGTGCGTGTGAGTACAAGCTGTGGCTGCATTGGGCTCCTTTCTTCTCCTCTCTCCCCACTCCTCTTCTTTCCCTACGTGAAGTCGTTGAACTCCAATTTAAGCACCTATCTCTAGGCTGGCTTTTAAAACTCCTTGTTATGGATAAACTTCCCGCTAAAGGCCTTGAAACCTGAGCATGTTTCTCTCATTTGAACTCTTTCCCAGCTTAATAACC